ATTCACCAAAACACCTGAGGGCAGGACAAGAAGCAACAGATGGAAACTAATCAAAAAAAGAAGCAACCTAGAACTAAGAAGAAATTTTCTGACAGTTAGAACAATTAATCAGTGGAACAACCTGCCTCCAGAAGTTGTGAATGCTCCAACATTGAACGTTTTAAAGAAGAGATTCGACAACCATTTATCTGAAATGATGTAGAGTTTCCTGCTTGAGGAGGAGGTTGGACTAGAAGGCCTCCAAGGTCCCTTCCATCTATTCTATTCTATTCTATTCTATTCTATTCTATTCTATTCTATTCTATTCTATTCTATTCTATTCTATTCTCATACTGAGCTCATATTAAAAGTGATTGTCCATTAGGACTCCAAGATCCCGATCATCTCTTTCAGTTCAAAAATTTATTTTTGTTTTCACTTGTTTCACATTTTCTTAAACTGCTTTTCACACCTTTTATTCACAGGATATTAATACGATAACATTTTCATTAATCACAGACTCCATACCATGGTTTGTAATTGGGAGCTGTTCTATTTTAATCTCGATATTGTGATGATGACATAGAACTCTGGATTTTTTGAATGCCTGTTTGATAGCTGAGGTTTTTTTTTAAAATCCCATCAGTGTTTTTATTTAAAGGCTTGTAGAGAGAAAAACAAAAAAGAAAGCTCAAAACAGTTAACCTCTAATATAGAAGAAAATTCATTGGGACAATGGAAAAAGACTGAAATTAGGATCAGTCAACATTCATACAATATGATATGTCAGCTTTTCAATAATATTGAACTTTTCACCACAGAAAATTAAAGCAGAAAAAAAAAAGATTCTTCTGGCTGCATATTGTGAGCATTTAGTTTTAGCTTTAAAATGGAAGCCCAGTTAAAGACCATTAGTATAGGGAAGGACAGTATTAAAATGCTAAAGCATTAATTTTGCATACAGAATGTCCTAATTCAGTCCCTGAGAAGGTAATGGAAAAGAGTGGATAGTTTGGATGATTGCTGGCTGGGCTCACCCCAAAACCCTTTAGGCTTGTGTAGTGTAAAGTTCAGCCTGTTGTGCTGCCCATCTGTTGTCTTAGCATATTATGAGAATTTTGGAATAAATTGTCTTAGCTACAGAACAAATTTTCTGACCCAATCTTAATGAAAACAAGAAACAAGGAAATGAGTTTTGAGGATCCAGGTTTAGAAATCTGGCTCATATCAAGGAAGGGCTGATGTGATAACAGTATCTCAGATAATCAAAGGACTGTAGCAGCTCCTCAGTGATGAAAGATATTTGGGGCTTTCTTGTCTAGAAGAAAAAGACAAATGAGGGGAAACATGACTGAAGTGTACAAAATTATTCAGTGGATAAAATGGACAAGGAGAAGCTATTTTCTTCTTCTGAAAATACTACAACCAGCAGTCACCCAATGAAAATTGAATTCTGGAACAGGCAAAAGGAGAGTATTTTTATTTTGGTTTTTTTACACAATGTGTAATTAAAACTTTAGAATTTACAACTACAAGTTGTAGTGTCTGTTACCAGCTTGACTGGCTTCAAAAAAGGGTTGGACTAACTCATGAAAATCATAGGGCCAACCAGTTTGTCTAGTAGCTAAGACATCAGGCTAGAAAGCAAGTTCTGCCTTAGGCATGAAAGCCAGCTGGGTGACTTTGGGTCAATCACACTTGCTCAGCCCAACTCACCTCCCAGGCTTGTTGTGCTTGTGGAAAAAATCGGAAGAGTATGATGTGTTGGATGTTCTCGGCCCCTTGAATTATTTGTGAAAATAAAGGCAGGAAATATATAAATTAAATGAACAAACAAACAAACAAACAAATAAATGTTATTAGCCTGGATGGCAATGGAACTGTCTTTGAAGGCCACCTTCTGGAAGACTAGTGAATTTCTTTGTGCAGTTGGTTGAAAACAGTGGGAACAATATGCTGGTCTAGATTGGCCAAAAGTCTCATCCAGCAGGACATTGCTTACGTGCTTATATTCTTATATAAGTGTGTCTGTGTGTGTGTGTGTGGGGGGGAGGAAATCACAAAAATCACACGGTTGTATACTTTTTGATTTTTCCAGGATTGTAAAATTGCTTCCCCATCCCAATGTCCTTGTTCTCAGGCAGTGCTCTTCCATTCGTGTTGTGCTTCTGCCTAGCCTTTTGAAATCAAGCTGGATCCCATTGTAGTGTTTTCCCTTTGCTTTCAACATAGTCGTTCAGGCAACATGCACATCCCACTTAGCTTCAGTTCGTTTTTTTTTAACCAATGAAAATGTGAGATAAGCACTATAAAGAAAAAAAACTACAGTAAGTAGTAAGTAGCTGCAGTTTAAAATTCCATGTCAAACAGAAATTTGCAGGGAGGATTTATTTATATATTAAATGTCTATACTGCCCATCTCATTGATATAGTGACTCTGGGTAGCTTATAATATAATTGTCAAGGCTGCTAACATCTGATGTTTTTGCTTTGACAACAGTTGGAGATGCAACCATTTTCTTCTTATGTTTTACTTTTAGAGTTAAAGTTAGAATTAGATGATGCTGGGGGGAGTGATGTGCATGAGAGTTTAGCTAGACATAACAATACTGGACCTAGTATGTGAATCAGGGTTATGGAAATAAGAGATGATAAGAATTGGCAGGCTGGAGAACTGGAGGGAAAGCCTGCATTTCAAACTAATTGGAGAATTTGATTTATGACAGTTAATTGGAGGATGGAATTGTGCTTTGATACTATGTGCTCAGGGGAGGGGAACCTAGTTTTTGGCTTTGATTATGTTTGTGCTGATGCTATGCTTCTCTAATAAAGATTCTTTAAGGTAACAATGCTTCAAAATTCTTTGAAGAGTTCCATCTGTCGGAACCATGACAATAATAAAAGGTTAAAAGCTGCTAGAAACCAATAGAAAAAATTGAACAGAAAAACTAAAAACCAAGATGGTAGGTGGCCTGGGGGTGGGATGGGGTGAGGATTCTCTCATCTTATTTGCTTAAAAGTGACCCTGGGGGCTTCAAAGTATTGCAAATCTGGTTACCAAAGCTGATTACCAAAGTATCTGTGGATTGCACATTTGCTGCTTGCAAATCCTCTTACTCTCTTAATTTTTTTAAAGAAACCATAATTTCATAAATTAATGGAAAACTAGCATGTCATCAGTCAAATTCCACCTACCAGCATTGCGTGTATATATTATATATTTAAAATGGTAGCTAACTAGAGGTCAGTGTTTTGTTTGGAAGTATTCTTACCTGCCTAGAAAAAAATGGGTAGGCTATAGTAATAGGGAACATGTAGCAAGGAGTAGCACTAGCTTGGTTTCTGTAAAATGTTTACAATTTATGAACAAACTGGATAAACTTTGCTTACGGTAGATATTTTGTGACCGTGTCCCTGATGTGCTCTCAATATGTTAAAATACCCATTGGCCAAATAAAGCTTTGGGATTCCTCCTATCTGGGAACAGAGGTGACTATTGGCCCCATAGTCTGGAAGTCATTGTCCAGGTATCAGTAGAGGGACTTTCCCAGTCCTGTTATCTGGAGGCACAGAGGAACATATCTGAATCTTCATCGACACAATGCAGGTTTACAACTGTCCATAGGATCCAGTTGCTTTTGTCAAGAAGATGAAAGCAGCATTATGCTGTCATGCTACAATCTATGGGTGTGCATGCAACACTGCAACGTTCTATGAAGGGTGAAGCTTGCATTGCAATGGTATGATGAGGCTTACATTAGGTTGCCACAACCAACTTGCCACAGCCAACTCACCATGACCAACTTGCCACAGCCAACTCACCATGACCAACTTGCCATGGCCAACTTGCCACAGGACAAGAATTACATTAATGCTGTCAACTCTACAACAAACCTGGCTACAGCCATCTTGCTCCTTCTAGGTTGCCACAAAGATGGGAGGGGGTGTGGAGAAATTCTGCTAGTCTAAACAATTAAATGTCCCATGGGAACCAAGGTCATTTTTGCTGGTTGGATTGGGAGGGGGAGCAGTTGAGTAGAAAGCCCGCCAAACTATTCTATTGGGAAACGTAGCTGATTGCATAGCACTGGGGTGGGAAGTTTAACTTTGTAATAGTGTGACTCTTTGGTTTCACTTTTGACCGTGTCAATATTATGTAACCAATAAATATGTTTTTTGAGAAAGTTTCTAGCCTTGGAGTTCTGATTTGTTTTGTTTCATCTGTCGGAACCTTGACAAATCTCAAAGAAATAATAGAATAGAATAATTAAAGAAAGGGTGCCAAAGGAGGAACAAAATGATATGTGAATGACAGAAAGTAAAATATTTTTAAACTATTTTAAATAATTTAAATTGAATTGTTGAATTGTCTCACAGCAAGTTGTCCTGTGGTGACTTGGCCATGGCAAGTTGTCCCATGGCGAGTTGGCTGTGGTGAATTGGCCTTGGTGAGTTGACCATGGCAAATTGGCTGTGGCGAATTGTCCCATTCCATATCTCCACTCCCCACCTTTCTTACCTTCAAAGCAAAACTAAGAGAAATTCTGATTCTTTCTTCCTTATTTTTCTTGCTATGTCATACTGCTTTCTTTTGCAATATACCTCTACATTAATCTTTTCTGGTGCCCTCTAGATATACAGGATTACAACTCTCATGTTCCACGGCCAAAAAACCCAATAAGTATCAATTGAAGTGGGGATTTAAGAGTTGCAGTCTGACACATTTTACAGCTGGGATGTCTATTCCATCTTCACTTCACAGACAATAAAATCATTAAGTAAGGAGGTAACTAATTAGAACCACCTACCCCTATCAAGTTATGTCTGGCTGCTTCCACTGGTTACCTCATCTCATGGGCAATATCCCAATACTGCTATCAGGACAGGCACAGACGAAAGCCTCATTTTCTATGGAAAAGCTATAAGTCACACAATTGTCAAACTGTTTAATGTGTATGTTTAGTTGGTTGGCTAGTTGATTTTCAGTGTTTTAGCCAGTTCTGCACTATGACAGCCTTCAGCTGGGTTGAAGATCTGAATGTTGTCCATTTCACCTGTCCTAAGCAGAGACACTTTCCCCAAAGGCCAAGGCCTGTATGCAGAAGAAATATAACAAGGGAGCTTTGGTTATAAAAAAGTGCTGTTTCAGGAAAACTATAGTTCTTTGATCATTGCAATTCTACCTGAGACAAAAGCCTAGCTGGGAAAGCTGGACTTCTCTGCATTTGGAAATAATTTCTTTTGATTTCAGGACAAAGTCACAGTTCTGTTTTGTTGCCGCAGCAATTCAAAGACCTATATTTGAATGGATTGAAATATTTTTTGCTTTATTTGCATTCATGGCCTTTATCCCTATAAGAAACACAATACCAATTAGAAAAAGGACCTTTCTAGGACTTCTGGCACCCAGTGTCATAAAAGTTGGGTTCTGCTTCACTTCATATTGCAAGTGTGTACAGAATACATTCTTCTTTACAAGAAGGAAACAAACTAATATAACTTTGGTGGGTTTTGTTTGAGAGTGTTTTTCCCCTTTCAAGCAGACATCTACTCTTCTAAAAACATGACATCTAAAATAAATTTGGTGTCCCTGTGGAATCTGAAATCTATTAATCATGGTTAAATGTAGACAGTTAATTATACCCCAGAAACTGACAAAAGATTACCCCTGAGGCCTTGAATCTTCAGCATCTTCAGAAAATTATAGTTACAGCTTTCCAGTTGGCTGCTTTCTTAAACTAGTTCATTAGCAGTAGCTCAAGGTCAAGTGTTATGACATTCTTCGCTCAAAATGATGCTTCACTGCTGATTACCCACAGGAAAAGGCAATTTAAGCAAGGGACTATTGTGACTATTTCCCATGGGGAGCAAAAGACTATCCCTAAAATAGTTATCAAACAGAAATTATGGACTAGGTCAAAGAATGTAGGAATGATTTATCAGGACACTAGACAGGGAATTGCAATATGATCTCCAAGGTCCTGTCCAGCTCTTACATTTGAAGATTTTAGGTGACATAAGAGCATTCATATAATATACTTAATCCCTATTGACCCATTTGGGGAATCTGACCAATTCAAACCATAAGTTAATCAAACTGAGACCATGCAACACACAAACCTGAGTAGTGGGTCAGCTGATTCACCAGAATATTTGCCTTATCCTTTCACTTTAACTTAATATGCAGATGCTCACACCTCATTCTCATATCTCATTATACAATGGCATAAATAAACCATTCTGTAAAATTAGTGTTACCTTGATCCTGACCTCATAGTTGCTGCCAATTCTGAAAACTAGATGAGCGGATTTCGAAGAAGGCAATATCACCACTTTTACACAACCAAGTTTCAGTAATATATGCCACGGTCATCTATTTATTAACAACCAAGTTAATAAACAACCAAATTACTTTCCAGAGACAGGTGGAAAAGCTGCAGATTAGACTATGGTCACACCAGCAGTGGGCTGAGCTTGTAGAAGGACTGTGGGTGGCAAACATCTAAGAAGGGATATTTTCTAATTCTTGGACTGTAAAGGGGAAGGGAGGGGAAGTGTACTTTAGGACTTGCAAGATTCTATTAATGTAATCTTACAATAAAGCTAGAATTAGTACTTCTGGGTGTGTGTTTTTTTGTCTAGGTTATCTCAGAAGGCTGACATCAACAGACCTGACATTTATCAGCAGTAACATGAGCCCCAAGTTATCCACAATCTATCTACCAGGATCTAGGATTTGGGTTTTATCATTGGAGTGGAAATTGATATTTCCTGTAGTAAGGCTCACATAGTCCCTCTAGCACATGTGCATCAAAATGGCAGCTGGCAGGCCAGATGCATCACCTGCAGGCCACTCCCACCCCGGCTCCACAAAGGCAAAAAACATTGTGATATGTCATGATACATCATGTGACACATTTAAGTTTGACACCCGTGCTCTAGCATATTTCCTTCAGCCTGTCTTATAACCATCAGAATATAGAACCTGTATTGTCCTCCAGGAAAAAAAAAACCTGCTCTCAGTGTTGACTCTACTTTCCTGGTTCAATACTTTTTTCAAGAGTAAGAGTCAGTAGGTGGTCTAGAATGATTTATTTAATTATCAACTGCCATAATTACAATAATAATAATAATAGATAAATAATTGCCCTTAGCCCCAAGGAGAAATAAAATAGTAATTCCCCCCATACACATATCCGTAATACGAGGTGATAGGTTTACAGAATACATTAAATTAGGCTAAAATGGATTTGGGCAGTTTATGGTTAAGCATTATGACAGGGCATATTGGAACCAGACATATGATTTATTGATTTGGGCTTAGCATGTTGTGTGGATGGTGTTTTGCTAAACTGGCTTTAGAACTAAGTCTAACCCAGGTAATCAGAAACTTGCATATTTTGACTTCCTGAATAAATGTAAAGTTTGCTGGTTCATATTTAATGGCTGTAAATGACATTGTGCTACATATCCATGTATTTTTTTTTTTGTGGATTCCTGAAAAATCAGTTAACACTGAACAGGTAATCTGAAAGCAGCTGGAATTTCAGAACTGCCATAAATAGAATTGCAAAGAATTTGACGCCAATCATAGGACAAGACTTTCAGTGCTCTGAAACAGGGTAGCAGTGAAAGATACAAATCTGATACCCTGGGAGGGTGAAAATTAGGTGCCTGTCAGACACCTTTAGCACATCACTCCAGCAGATTATGCTTAGCTGATCGCCATAAAGAAAATGGCATCAATTTCCTTCTGAAATGTGTGTTGTGATTGGAGGGAGGCATATTAATTATTGGAATTTCTCTCTGTTACATAGATAGGAAGAACAGAACGACAGAGAAGAAATTAGGAAAAACAAGAGAAGGGAAAAAGTCTGGGGGAGGATATTATGAAGTGAAGTTCTGTAAATATAGTGAATCTCATAATCCTTATCAAAAAGTTGACAACTTACATCTGGTAACAATCTTCAGTTTCTCTTTGCTGCATCATAATGCAGGTAGTCCTCGACTTAACAACAGCTCATTTAATGACTGAAGTTACAATGGCAGTGAAAAAAGCAACTTATAACCATTTTTCATATGACCATTGCAGCATCCCCATGGTCACATGATTGAAATTCAGACACATGGCAACTGACTCATATTTACGATGGTTGCAGTATCCCAAGGTCATGTGATCACCTTTTGTGATCGTCTAATGAGCAGAATCAAGGGGGAAACCAGACACATTTCACCCGCCATGTAACTAAGTTAACAACTGCAGTGATTCACTTAACAACTGTGGCAAAAAAGACCATAAAAATGGGGCAAAACTCACTTAACAAATGTCTCACTTAGCAACAGAAATTTTGGGCTCAGTTGTGGTCATAAGTTGAGGACTATTTATATTTAGGGACATTTTTTAAAAGAGACTATATTCCGTTTTGTAGATTAGCTTTTCTCTCTTCAGTTTCCAAGATAGTCTGAATTACTTTAAACAACTTTAAGTCTGAGGTTATCTAAAATATACCTAAGGGCCTTTCCTCATTCACATTTAATCATGGCACCCAGAAACTCTTTTTTTATGCTGACTCAACATAAGGTCATCTTCATCTGGTCTTCAGACTATACCAGAGACAACCAAGTTGTATTTACAGAACTTGTTCAGATTTTAAAGTAGTATTTTCCCTCATATTCTTTCTCTCTCTCTCTTCAATGGATCCAGTGTCATACTTTGTCTATCATACTGTGGCTGATGCAGAGTGATGGACATTCTCAAAGATTGGTTGATAGCATTTTAACTTAGTTCTGACAGAGAACCCTCAGCCTCTTATAATAATGCTAAACGCTTAGTTGCTATATTTTGTGAAACCTGGACTTCATTCACATATCTTGGCTGCAACAAAACGGTAACAAGATTTATCAGGCATCTAGTAAGTATGCCCTTCTGGTACTCAGTCCATAAGCAGAAGATACAAAAACCTTTATTTTCTCTTCTAGAATTGAGCTATCACCTCATTACCCTCAATAGATCTTCTGCAATAGCATAACTAATACTTTTCAAACATTTGTAACTACTTGGGTTAATAAGGTTTTTTGTTCTTTTTTAAAAAAAGATCAGTTAAGGAACACCACCTATAACTGCTTGAAATACTGTTACGTTTATCTCTTTTAAAGCAGACATGTCAATCTCGTGACATCACGTGACGTCACGCAATGTATCAGGACGGTTTTGCCATTGCTGGCAATGGGGTGGGTGCGGCTTCCGGATGACGCGTCCGGCCTGCGGGCCAGCAGTTTGACACCCCTGCTTTAAAGTGTATTTAAAAAAACAAAACAAAAAAACCCAGTAAAGGTAAACTCAGATGCCACTGAAAGTGAGTCAGGCCTTTAGTGAATTCCAAATATAGATTTGCAGTATGTTATAAAAGAGGGGAGAAATTCAGAATAGTGATGCTTCGTCTGATGATTCATGGGCTAGATGGTGTGTGAGTGAGCAGTTTCTGTAGCCTGTTAACATCTTGAAACTTCCCCAGTGAATTCTGACTTCTTTTCCAATGGGTGAGTTTCAACAGAAGGCTCTTTTAAAACCATGTCTATCCATCAGGATTATGGAGAGTTCTGAATTTGAATATCAAACTCTGATTAAAACCTGTCTACGAAAGCATTAGCATGCATTAAAAACACCAACTGCATCTGTTCCTGAGTTCATGCTGTTGGCACAAATCACTGGAAAAGTACATATTTGGTGTATAATGCTCCTGAGGGGTGCTATGTATTTGTACATCCAGTTAAACAATGGAAACAGAAAGATCTAAAATCCTGCTTCTCTCGGAGAAGCAAATGTGAGGTATCAAATGAAGATATCTTCCACGTGGCATCTCTAGAGTGCTGGCCAACACCTTCCCAAATCCAAGAAAAAGCCCTACTTATCTACTTGCATTTGCATGCTTTTGAACTGCTAGGTTGGCAGGAGCTGGGGCAGGAACAGGACCTCATCTTGTCACACGGTACTTGGGCCTCAAACTGCCAACTTTCCGGGTGACAGTCCAGTGTCTTAACCACTAAGCCACCATGCCCCTTATAGGCCTGAACTATTCAGGCCTATTTTAGCATAGCCCATTCTGTCATAAGAATGGAATGTTTGTGATATAGCATTGACAGGCTTTATTCAACACTGGAGTTGAATCCATCCTGTGATGGGTTATCCCAGGAGTCTTCAAACTTGGTCCTTTTATGACTTGTGGACTTCAACTCCCAGAATTCCTTAGCCAGCGTGGGAGTTGAAGTCCATAAGTCATAAATGGCCAAGTTTGAAGACCCCTGGATTATCCCATTGATGATATATCATAACTAGCAACTCTTGAAGCAACGTGATATCCTTAACTTGGTCTGCATCAAATTTGTTGGAATTTCTAAACTCATAGGTTCTCTATGCAGAACTGGCCCAAGGTATTCGTCTATTTGAAATAAAAGTCCAGATGCCTGTAATCTGTTCTATGTACTCATGTCATCTAGACTAGCAGCAGAAAAAGGTCCTTTGTCACATAGAGCAGCAAGTTGGTTTAGGTGATATAATATAAGATGCATAACATACCTCTCTATCCTCCAGCTTTGTAATCTCTATTGCTTGGGATGTTTGCCCTCTGCTTAAGGACAGAACTGGTCAGTATCTCCTACCATGGATACTGCTTTTAAAAATGCAGAGATTCATATATTTTGGAAGGTTCTTCTCCTAAGGTGTTGATTGGTGGAGCATATTGTAAGAGCTACAGTCTCCAGGAGGAGTTAAGTATGTCAACCACTATTTTTCATTAGTTCATCCCAGGACTTGTGCAATCTCCAGACTAAATATATTACTCTTATGGATCACCAGTGGAATACAATAGTAGCAAAATTCAATATGGAAGGAAGTGCTAATTTCTCCTAACTCCAAATATTACTTGCAATCACCTGAACTCCAACATAGGCCAAAGAAATGCTAATTATTTGATGACAACCAGTTGCTTCTACTTCTTACTTCTTCTACTGGGGTCAGATATTCATCCCCAGAAGCTGATATGGTGATGATTTTGGATAGAAATTGAGTTTGCTGCTGACTCATTTTTGACTCATGCTCTAAGGCTGCAATTTTAAAAATCCCCCAAATGTAATGCTCAGTTGATGTCAAACATTGCAATTTACTATTACTTGCATTATATAATAAAAATGACACTCCTTCCCCTTTTTATAGACCATTGATAAGTTAGTCCTACTAGGGCTTTAACCAAAGCACAGCAGCAGGACTATACAGAGGGTCTAAAGGATATAAGTCATCAACAGTGCTAGACCATATCCTTCCTAGAAATTTTGGACCCACAGAGAAGAATCAACCCCTATAGCTACTGAAGCAAATCTAATGCTGTACTGAAAGTTATTTTATAGTTCTGTTTTGTTTTTTTGATCATATTCATCCTATTTGAGGGAAATGAATTGCTTTTTGGGTTTTTTTGGAAGAGAAAAAACTTTCTATGAGTTTTTTTTCACAGATGGGATACTGGACTAAGGCACTGACTTAAGTTTTCGATGGTATAAATTATGGAACTATACAGGCATCTAGGCAACTGATCTCTCCAGTGATCATCAGCCTCCCAAGTGTCTCACACTTGCAAAAAATTCCAGAGGAAAACAACATCAGGAACTCCTGCTTAGGAGTAGTTCTGAAACTGAGGCAGTGATGGAGACTAATCTTATGTAAAAAGAGGGGGAAACAGCAATTCCCTCCATCATCCAACTATAAAGTCAACTCAGAAACACAATAAATTAAAGCTATTAAAATTCTATGGCACCTTGAAAAGGAGATAGAACAGAAATCTCTTTCTTGGCAGAAGACTTAGGTAGAACATGTATTTCAGCTGTTGCCCCCTCATCTTCCTATTTGTAAGGAGTTCTTAAAATAGATAATCTGACCTGACTAAAGTAGGTCTGTTCTCTCATCTCATTTTTACATACATATTTTGGATAGACACTGCAGATAAATGGGTAGAGTATCAACACTGAGAAGTTTTAAGTAGCAAGCATGTCCTTTGTGTTGAGCAGTCACTTCTCTCAGATGATAGACACCTAATGCTTGAACTTGCTGTTGGAGCTTAGCAGAAAGCAAGATAATTCTTGTTGACATTCCCTTGTGGTTGATTTTGCTATTGGGTGGCAGTTTAAAAGAAGGGAATTGGGTCTTTGCTTGGATTTCAGTTTGTACTGTAAAACAGATAGTTGAATGCAGTGAAGTATTTTCTGAAAGGAAAGCAAAAAATAAGATAAGAAGAAGTCCTTTCTTTTATTTTTTTTATCCCATCCTATATGCTCCAATTTAGCATTCCAGATTTTTTTTGAACAATCAGAATATTTTTATATGTATTAACAGTTCTATCTGCCTTATCCTGTTGAGTTCAAGTGTAACCTATTGTTGTGTCTGTTGAAGTTAAGATCAGACAGCAAAGAAAAAATAACAAATGTCATTGGCTGCTCAGGATAGATGGATATTGATATGGCTTGGTGGTTGCAAGGTGAGAAGGTTGGGGGAGAACATGAATTGCATGTTCTGTTGCTGCCATGTATTTAAATTAAAGCCAGATAAGAGACCACTCATCAGCTGAAAAAAGCTGTGATTAAAGGCTGCATGTTGCAGTAGGCTGTTGTTTGTGGGAGGGCTTTTTGAAGATATGGGACTGGTTTATGTGGAACAGTATAGTTCCTTGGGTAAGGCAGGAAATGGAATTGGAGATCTCCCCTGGAGTGAGAAAACAGGAGGTAGATTTTTTCAACCTGGTGACTGTAGTGATGTAGGACCTTGGGTGAGGATGCTGTTGGTTTTGGAGTTGAGAGGGATATATAAATTATAGATAGGAAGGAGGAGGGAGGGGACAACAAGAGTGGGTTGCAGATTATTGGCTTTAAGTGCGAACAGTGAGGAGTCTATAGCTGGACTTTGGAAAATGAGGATGGTTGGGAGTGCTTGGATATCAACAGAGAGCACATCAAGAATGTTGTCCTGGTTTTCCCTGAAAATGTGGGACCAACAATTTGGTGCCAAACTCTGCTCCTTGCCCACAGACCTCTTCCTTGCATTTGGAAGACTAAATACCTTGGCCCCCATCTGCTGTTGGTGATTGACAAATCCATGCATAATAAAACCATGTTCATCTCCAGCCTAGTGGTGAATGATGAACATGCTGATAGAGCATGCATTTCTACACCACCAGATGAAGTGAGGAAAGCCAAGGCTCAAAATGAACTAAGGCTTGTGACCAAAGTCAAAAATAACAAAAAAAGCTTCTTTCAACATGTAAAAAACAAGAAAAAGGTAAAGAAAATGATTGGTCCATTAGTGGGTGAAAGTGGCAAGAAGGTGACAAGCAACATGGAGAAAGCAGAACTATTTAACTCATTTTTTGCATCTGTCTTTACACAGAGGGAAAAAACAGACCAACCTATCAAAAACAGTGCCATAAAAAAACAGAATAGAAACACAAGTTAAGATAGGCAAGAAAATGGTAAGTGAGCATCTGTCCAGCCTAGACGAGTTCAAATCTCCAGGACCAGATGGATTACACCCCAAGGTTCTCAAGGAACTGGCAGATGTGATCTCATAACCACTAAACTATATTTTTCAAAGATCCTGGAGCACTGGGGAACTACCAGAGGACTGGAAAAGAGCTGATGTAGTTCCCATCTACAAAAAAGGGAAAAAAAATGGACCCAGAATATTACAGACCTATCAGCCTGACCTCAATACCTGGGAAGGTCCTGGAAAAGATAATCAAACAACGAATCAGCGAACACCTAGAGGCAAACAAAGTCATTACTAAAAGCCAACATGGGTTTGTCAAAAATAGATCATGCCAGACAAATCTTATTGCATTCTTTGACCAAGTGACAAAATCAGTGGATCAGAGGAGTGCTTGGACATAATTTACTTGGACTTCAGTAAAGCATTTGATAAAGTAGATCACAACCTACTACTTGACAAGATAGAAAAATGTGGGGTAGACAGCACCAGCACCAGATGGATCCGTAGCTGGCTGACTGGTCGTACTCAGCATGTGGTCTTCAATGGAACCGCATCTACATGGAGGGAAGTGTGTAGTGGGGTGCCCCAGGGCTCTGTTCTGGGCCCAGTGCTCTTCAACATCTTTATCAATGATTTGGACGAGGGGTAGATGGGGAACTCATCAAATCTGCAGATGACACCAAACTGGCAGGAATAGTCAACACTCCAGAAGACAGGCTTAAGATACAGAAGGATCTGGACAGACTTGAACACTGGGTGCTATCTAACAAAATGCAATTCAATGGTGAAAAAAAACAAGGTTCTACATTTAGGCAAGAAAAACCAAATGCACAGATATAGTATAGGGGTACCTTGCTCAATAGTAGTAACTGTGAGAGGGACCTCGGAGTCCTAGTGGACAATCACCTAAATATGAGTCAGTCGTGTGCTGCAGCTGTCAAAAAGGCCAATACAGTGCTAGGCTGCATTAACAGAGGGATAGAATCAAGATCACGTGAAATATTAATACCACTTTACAGTGCCTTGGTAAGGCCACACTTGGAATACTGCATCCAGTTTTGGTCACCGCGATATAAAAAAGATGTTGAGACTCTAGAAAGAGTACAGAGAAGAGCAACAAAGATGATTAGGGGACTGGAGGCTAAAGCATATAAGGAACGGCTGCTGGAATTGGGTATGTCTAGTTTAATGAAGAGAAGGGCAAGGGGGGACATAATAGCAGTGTTCCAATATCTCAGGGGCTGCCAGAAAGAAGAGGGTGTCAAAGTATTTTCCAAGGCACCTAAAGGCAGGATAAGAAGCAAAGGGTGGAAACTAAGCAAGGAGAGAAGCAACCTAGAACTAAGGAGAAACTTCCTGACAGTTAGAACAATTAACCAGTGGAACAACCTGCCTCCAGAAGTGGTGAATGCTCCAACAGTGGAGGTTTTTAAGAAGAGACTGGACAGCCATTTGCCCGAAATGGTATAGGGTTTCCTGCCTGAGCAGGGGGTTGGACTAGATGACCTCCAAGGTCCAACTTTACTACTACTGCTGCTGCTGCTACTACTACTACTACTACTACTACTACTACTACTACTACTATTATTATTATTATTATTATTATTATTATTATTATTATTTCTGAATCCTGACTGGGCAAAGGAGGAGATGTGGTCTGGTCTGAGATTTGCCCCTCTTTTTAGAGCATATAGTAACATACTATCATACATTCTCAATTTAGAGTATAAAAGCATTTCAAACATTTATAAAGACCACATCTCTTGAACAGAGTGGGAGAACTTGGTGCAGTCAACTTGCTGCAGCCAACTCGCCATTGCCCACTTGCTGCAGCCAACTCAGTACAGCTAACTCACCATGGACAACTCATTGTTTGACAATTCACTGTGGCCAACTCATTGTGGGACAACTCGCTGTGGGACAATTCAACAATTCAATTTAAATATTTAAAATAATTTTAAAAATATTTATTTTTTGTCATTTACATTTCATTTTGTCCCTCCTTTTGCATTCTTTCTTTAATGATTCTATTACCATTTCTTCAATATTAGTGTAATTCTTGTCCCGCAGTGAGTTGGCCGTGGCAAGTTGGCCGTGGATAAATTTTTTATTATCCATATATAAAATAATTCTCTTTGCCAAGCCCTATTTAATTAAAGCCAGAGTTCTTCAATGTCAAATTTCCTATTTTGAAAGAATTAGTCAAAATCAGATGTACATCTTTAACTAGTATATGCTTTCTCACTATCATTTTGAAATATGTTAAAACTGGAAGGTAAAGGGGAGCCATGAATGGACAGGACCAAATCAAGTGAGTAAAACAACCCCCTCAATTTTTTTACAATACCAACAGAAGAAATCTGATATTTAATCTTTTTCAAACATTATCAGAGGAGTCAGTAAATATTAAACAAAAATTTCCAGTGAATTCACTTCATTCTTAAGTCAGAAGTTGTACATTGTACATTTTTTGAAACTCATTGCTTTTCCAAAACTGGATATTCCAATTCCTTACCCATTGTTTCATATATATGTACATATATTGGTGTGTATGTGTCTTTGTGGATTGTGTCTGTGTGTGTGTGTTTGTGTATAGTTTGTTTGTGTTGTTGGGGGAGGTAAGTGGGAAAAAATCTAAAAAAATAATAAATATTGTCAGCCCTAAAATTTATCCTATTTTTTTAGTTTCATGTTGGTTTCACTTTAGGTAAAACATCTCTCATAGATCTCAGAATTCCAGGTGCCTCTGAATGGTCAACTCCATGTGCCTTTTGAACCCAGTTAGATCTGTGAGGATTCTTCCAGTGTATTGCAGCCAATTCTACCATGGAAGTTATCAAAAATACTGTAGATGATTACGCCTAAATGGTCTCTCTCTTTCACTAATCCCAAAGTGCTCCCTTATCTGGGCAACAAAAAAAGATGCCAAAAGTGATAATGGGAGAAGATTATGAGTGAACATGATTAAATATAGGTATATCTCATGCTTGTGCCAATACCGCAGTGGTACAAAAAGCATTTGCAGAATTTCCTTTATCAACTTTGTTGAGGATAACCTGCAATCTATTGTGGAAGAACCAGCCAGAAGACCTTTCTACATGCTTCTGTGACTCATTTGACAGATTCTTATAAAATATAATTACTTACATTTGCTCTGAATTAGATGCTACTTGAGCAATCTAATGAGATAATCAGGGAAACATCTTACAGAAACATCTGGGATTTCTTTTAATCTATGGAGTCTGAGGATACAGATAGAATCATCTGCATCACCAAATGTGGATTGGAGCACTTTCTGCTTGACTCCTTTGGGTTGTCCTGAGTTCAGGCTGGTTCCTTCCCTATTGAAATTCAAGAAGCTGTTTAACATGGTTCATTCATACATTTACAATTAGGGATTTGGGGTGTCATGAACTCAGTGGTGAGATCTACTTTTATTTATATTTATACTTTATACATCATTAAAAATGAGGATGATGAAAACTCTGCTATTCTCTTCCCCATCCATTATTCCCTTAGGTCGTACAATGATTTTGGCTACATAATAATTGTAAACAATTGTATTTATTTTTAAATTGTTACTATACCGATAATCACTGATGCCTGCATCCTTGGAGGACCACTGACCACTGACCTATCTGCCATTGTGGACAATAGTTCAGCCCCTTTTGATAGAACAGATGTTGAGTGATGTACATTAATTATAAATGGGGCTCTTTTCCATATCTATGGCTGCTTTTTCCCCGCTCTTTCATCTTTTCCAGCATCCTTGAAGGATTTTTACATAGGCTGAAATTCATAGGAATCAGCAACACATTTCAATGCAACCTATGTCAATTAATGTTTTGATTCCATTTTTATTCAACAGTTCATATATTTCATTGTGTAAAAACTGTACAATGCAAATATAATTGTATAATTTATATAATTCAAGAGGGAATTACCAATCTCTGTTTTTGTGTCTGAAATTCTACAATTTGCACTGTATTTTGTAAGATTCTTTTTTTCTGGTAGTTTCAATTTTTTAATTGATGAAAATTATCTAAATCTTTACAGATCTACTTGCAGTGATCTTTTATCCATCCTCAAAGGATAATTATTCTGCTTAAAGAAATCCTGTTCTAAGTCTACTTCTTCATGACTATATCTTTGCTTTTCTGATGAAAGAGACCCAATATGTTCCCTAAAATGTTAGTATTCCTTTCCATACACTTTATAATTTTTTTAATAAAACAGAGCAAATCTCCAATACCATTCATCTCTTTAAGGAAAAGGCAGTGCTGCCTATCACTCTGCCAAGAGCTAATTACTCACTGGTTATAGTGGCCTTAGGGATCATGATAATTCTCCATTCCTTCATTTCCTTATGTTGTCATATGTTACCCACTTGTCTCAGTTATTTCAGTCATGCCTTCTTCTGGTGGGTTGTCACTATTCTGGGGTTCCTCTGTGTTTTCACGTTTCTGAAATGAAGATTCTTCTGTTTGCAGATTCTGAGATACCACTTTTCTGCCTGTTCTTTTATTGACCCAGCACCCTTCCTCTAAGGAAACAGCACTATATGTCAGTTGAGATATATCATCTCCTTCAGCAGTTGCTATGCTTTCTAGTGTTGCTTCACTCAAGCGCTGAGGTAGCAATTGTTCAACATCATCTATAAACTCATGTTCTTCTCCCTCAGTTTGCTCTAGATTTTGTGGGTTTTGTGTGTCACTGAGCAGTTCTTGACTTGAAGCTTGCTGGATGTCAGATTCAAGTTCTTTCCCCAATGCAGGCTGGTCCTGGCCAGAAATCTCTTCACTACCAGGATGGGATTCTTTGCATAAAAGTTGCTGCTGGACCCGATCTGTCTTTTCCTCATCTGTAGTACTTATCTGATTTAATTCTTCAAACTGAGGCCCTATTCCTTCCGTAGGGCTCCCAGGCCCAAATGGACTTGCCACTCTTCCATCCTCCGCTGCTATTTTATTAGGGGCCAGATATGAGGTAATTTGGGTTTGTTGAGTGTGATTTAACAAAAGCTTGCCTGTTTTTCTGTTTAGCCACATTCCATCTTCTATAGAAATTATGCTGTTTGTCTGCAAAGCTTTATTCTCCCTATCTAGATAACCAGTGAATCTTTGTAGAATTGCTTGGCTTTCAGAGGCACCTACTTGTTCAGTCAAATCAGCTAAATACAGTTGTCTACTCTGCTGTGATTGCTTCTGTGTAACTTTTCTGGACTCTGGTACATCTGCCTCCTGGATACTATGGCAGGATTCCTGTGTTTTTAGCTGCTGGGTAACTTTATTGGATCCTGGAAATTCTGGCTCCTGGATACTCTTTTGAGATTCTTGTGCTTCCAGATGTTGGCTAGCTTTTTTAGACTCTGGCACCTCTGGTTCTTGAATACTCTTTTGAGATTCTCGGGGTTCCAGCTGTTGGCTGACTTTTCTGGATCCTGGCACCTCTGGCTCCTGGATACTCTTTCTGGACTCTCGGGATTCCAGCTGTTGGCTGGCTCTTCTGGATCCTAGCATCTCTGGTTCTTCAATACTCTTTCTGGACTCTTGAGCTTCCAGCTGTTGGCTGGTTTTTCTGGATCCTAGTCCTTCTGGCTCCTGGAGACTCTTTCTGGACTCATGAGCTCTAAGCAGTTGGCTAGCTTTTCTGGTTCCTGGCACCTCTAACTCCTGAAGACTCTTTCTGGATTCTTGAGCTTCCAGCGGTTGGCTGTTTTTTCTGGATCCTGGCACCTCTGGCTCCTGGAGACTCTTTCTGGACTCCTGAGCTTCCAATGGTTGGCTGGCTTTTCTGGTTCCTGGAGCCTCTAACTCCTGAAGACTCTTTCTGGACTCTTGAGCTTCCAGCTGTTGGCTGGTTTTTCTGGTTCCTGGCACCTCTAGCTCCTGAAGACTCTTTCTGGACTCTTGAGTTTCCAGCTGTTGGCTGGTTCTTCTGGTTCCTGGCACCTCTAGCTCCTGAAGACTCTTTCTGGACTCTTGAGCTTCCAGCTGTTGGCTGGTTTTTCTGGATCCTGGCACCTCTGGCTCCTGGAGACTCTTTCTGGACTCTTGAGCTTCCAGCAGCTGGCTGGTTTTTCTGGATCCTGGCACCTCTGGCTCCTGGAGATTCTTTCTGGACTCTTGAGATTCCAGCGGTTGGCTGGCTTTTCTGGTTCCTGGCGCCTCTAACTCCTGAAGACTCTTTCTGGACTCTTGAGCTCCCAGCTGTTGGCTGGTTTTTCTGGATCCCGGAGCCTCTGGCTCCTGGAGACTCTTTTTGGACTCTTGAGCTTCCAGCAGTTGGCTGGTTTTTCTGGATCCTGGCACCTCTGGCTCCTGGAGACTCTTTCTGGACTCTTGAGTTTCCAGCAATTGACTGGCTTTTTTGGATCCTGGTCCTTCTGTCTCCTGGAGACTCTTTCTGGACTCTCTTGTTTCCAGCTGTTGGCTGGTTTTTCTGGATCCTGGCCCTTCTGGCTTCTGGAGACTCTTTCTGGACTCTCGTGCTTCCAACTGTTGGCTGGTTTTTCTGGATCCTGGTCCTTCTGGCTCCTGGAGACTCTTTCTGGACTCTCGCACTTCTAGCTGTTGGCTTGCCTTTCTAGATCCTGGCACCCCTGACTCCTGGAGACTCTTTCTGGACTCTCGTGCTCCCAACTGTTGGCTGGTTTTTCTGGATCCTGGTCCTTCTGGCTCCTGGAGACTCTTTCTGGACTCTCGAGCTTCCAGCTGTTGGCTGGCTTTTCTGGATGCTTGTCCTTCTGTCTCCTGGATACTTTTTCTGGATTCTCGGGCTTCCAGCTGTTGGCTCATTTTTCTGGATCCTGGTCCTTCTGTCTCCTGGAGACTCTTTCTAGACTCTCTTGTTTCCAGCTGTTGGCTGGTTTTTCTGGCTCCTGGTCTTTCTGGCTCCTGGAGACTCTTTCTTGACTCTCGGGCTTCAGGCTGTTGGCTTGCTTTTCTAGATCCTGGCACCCCTGACTCTTGGAGACTCTTTCTGGACTCTCGTGCTTCCAACTGTTCACTGGCTTTTCTGGCTCCTGGTCCTTCTGGTTCCTGGATACTCTTTCTAGTCTCTCGGGCTTCCAGCTGTTGGCTGGCTTTTCTTGATCCTGGTACCTCTGACTCCTGGATACTCTTTCTGGATTCTCGGACTTTCAGCTGTTGGCTGGCTCTCCTGGACTCTGGCACCTCTGGCTCCTGGAGACTCTTTCTAGACTCTCGGATTTCCAGCTGTTGGCTGGCTTTTCTGGATCCTAGCAAGACTGTCTCTTGGGTGCTCTTTTTGGATTCCTGCATGAGGTGCTGCTGTAATTCTGCTCTTATTTTTGATTCTTGATCTTCCCTCAGAAACTCATTTCTCTCAGGGGGCTGACTTTTTTTCCATTTAGGAACTGAACCATATAATTCTATCAGATAGTCTTTGAACAGACTCTCACTTGTCTGCTGACTGGTACATTTAAGTTGTGCACCACTTTTTCCAATCATCCGGACACATTTTTCATCAGAAACATTGCCAGATGCTGCTGAAGGTTCCTGAACTTTAGCATCTGTTTTTTTATTGTCATCCACAAATCCTAGACCTTTTGATTCTTCCTTTTCATGTTTGGATTCATGAACTTTGGATTCTTGAGTGACAGACAGTGACTGCTTACTTTCCATTTCTTGACTGCCACGTCTTAATTCCCGCCCTTCCTTTTGAGTTCCGACCTGGGATTTTTGTTGCGGTCTTTCCTGTAGAAACTTTTGCATAGATCCTCTGCTGCTTGATGAACTGCCAGAAGAGAAACCTGTTTGTTCATTTTGGTCTATCAGTTCTTTACGTCTGAAAATGCTCACACTGCTGTCAGTCTGTAGTGTTATATCTGCCACTTTTCCAGCTGCAGCCATCAAATCTTTTACTTGTCTGTCATTTTGGGATTCCTTTCCTTTTAATTCCTGACTGACTTGCTGGGATTCCTGTCCTTCTATTTTCTGACCATCTTGCTGAAATTTTTGGCTTTCTTGGCTAATAAGATGTGCCTTAGCTATTTCTGCCTGTTCTTTTTCTGGCTCCTTGGGAAGAACCATATCTCCTGTTATCACTTTTTCTCTAGCAACTCTGGTGCTCTGTGCCTGTTGTTTAGAAAGGATTTCTGCAAGGGGTTTATGTTCCCAGATTCTACTTGTCTGCTGACTTGTGCATTTTACTAACTTTCCTCTTTTGCTAATCCAAGACACAACCTCTTTTGGTTGTTCAGTACCTTGTTGTGAAGCCTGTCTCTCTGACTCTTGGCTGCTGATCCTTGCTTCTTGCCCTACAAGCTGAGAAGAAATGTGAGCAGCTGCTTTCTTTATACTTCTGCTTTTATGAACTACTTGATTAAAAGGCTGAAGAATATCAGCAAGTGGTTTGAACTCCCAAACTCTACTTGTCTGCTGGCTTTCACATTTCATCACTTTCCCTGTCCTTTGACTGACCCAAGTTGGATGTTCTTTTGTTTCTGCTTCATTCACAGGTTGTGTTCTAGAAGATTTCTGACTAACATGACTGCTTCGCTGAGATTCTTGACATGGGAGATGCTGACTATGCTGACTGCTATGGCAGAATTCCTGGCCAGGTGACTGCTGATTACTGCGATGGGATTCCTGGCCAGGTGACTGCTGACTACTGCGACGGGATTCCTGGCCAGGTGACTGCTGACTACTGCGACGGGATTCCTGGCCAGGTAGTACTTGACTGCCACGCCGGGATTCTTGGCCTGAATGCTGACTATGCCAGGATTCCTGGTCAGAGAGGTGAGTGCTATGGTGGGATTCCTGTCCAGGTAGCTTCTGACTATTGCGGCGGGATTCCTGGCCTGGGAATTGTTCCTGAGTTTCAAAATGCTGGCTATTTCTGGACTGTTTTCTGAAGAACTCTATACTAGTGGTTCCATAGGTAGGAGGAGTGCATGTTTGATCATTTTGGTCTATGAATTCTTTTCGTCTGAAAATGCTAACTTTGCTGTCAGACTGTGTATCTTGATCTACATACTGTTTAGATGAAGCTTCCACCTTTGGAATATCTGGTTCTATTACTGGGGCAGTGTCTCCACTTTGTTTATGTTGTATTACATCATTGTTACTCTCCTCACTGATTTCATCATTTTCTTCCATTTCTTTAATGTTCTCAAGAATTAGCGAGTCAAGAGCAAGCTTAGAATCATCCATTCTTCTTCCATCTACATGTGGCCAGACTAGATTGCTCAGTCCACCAGGTAGTGACTTTTAAGACACCTCTTGTACCAAGTATCTGGGCCAGAAGTTCTTACCTTTCTGGCTTTGTTTTTTATTCAGGTGCTCTTTACAAGAAAAATCCCAAAACCAAGGTGGATTCATGGTTCTTACATTAGAAACAATAGTCTTGCACAGAACTTCATTGTTGTTGCAGTCTCTTCCTTCTCCTGCTGTCTTCCTTTCTTTCTGTTGCTAACAGCTACCATGTAGTTCTAGAAGTTTCAGAACTGATGGCTATATATTTATGACATCACTTATATTTTTATCCTATTCATTCAGAAATTATTTTAGAGATCCTAGCTTGTATAGGATATATGATTGTGCTTGAGGGAAAATTCAGGTGGGGTTCCACTTGTGGCATATAAGCAAAAATTTGCTAAAACTAACCAATACCATCCTTACCTTTAACAAGAAATGCCCCACATAGCATGAGTACAGCTAAGATTATAACTTAATCTATCCTTTCCCTTTCCCTTTCATCCTATAAAGCAGAGTTTCTTAAACTTTTTGCTTTCAGGATCCCTTTCCACATATAAAAAAAATTATGGAGGACCCTAAAGGAGCATTTGATTGTATGGGTTATATTTAATGATATTGAACATATTATAGCAATAGCAATAGCATTTATGTACCACTCCATAGTGCTGTACAGCACTCTCTGAGCAGTTTTACAGAGCCAGCATATGGCCCCCAACAATCTGGGTCCTCATTTTTCCAACCTTGGAAGGATGGAAGGCTGAATCAGCCTTGAATCAGTGAGAATCAAACTGCTGGCAGTCAGCTGAATTAGCCTGCAATACTATGTTCTAATCTCTGTGCCACCATAGCTCTTAAATATATAAATATACATATATGAAAAAGTACAATGGATGCATGCATCAGATATTTATTGATCATGTAGAACAGTGGTTCTTAACCTTTTTGAACAAATCGCCCCCTTGAGCCAATGAGGAAGTTGTCATCGCCCCCCTCCCCCAACATAACCTCTCAATCACAACATAGGAAATGATTCTTCAATTTATGCACTTTTTTGTTTTCTTTAAAATTGTCATCAGGACATATCGATGCAAATAATTTATTTCCAGTCTTTTTCCCATATCTCCCATATTCTGGCCAATGGCGTGCCACTGTATGGGTAGAGGCTGCTGCGCAACGCGCATGAAGATAAGCGATGCGTCTTCACATATGTACGGCGTTCTGTACTGAAGCTAGCTGGAGGAACATTTGAAAACACAATTCAATCCACTAATAGCGAGCGATCTGATGTTTTTTATGACAGATATACAGCGATTCACTGTACGAAAAAGTCTCAAAAGTTTTCCCAAAACTTCTCGTTCCTTTGCCCCCACATTGCCCCTTTTCGTTCCATCACCCCCCTGAAAAATGAAATCGCCCCTTGGGGGGCAATATCGCCCAGGTTAAGAACCACTGATGTAGAAATAACAACATGAAACTCAACATATGTTAACATAAATAAAACATTTCTTATAAAGAAGCCCTATATTTTTTAATGAAGTATAAAGATAATAATGAGAAGAGTGACATTGTTTTAGGTTTTTGCAAATATCTTCAATATCTGGCAAATAAATTTTATTTTGCAGATCTCTGAAAGGGTCTTGGGAGACCCTTGGGATCCTTCGACCACACTTTAAGAAACTATAAAGCATTGTTTGAAAGCCTTGAATGACAAAAGCCATATTGTTATATGCAGCATGTATGTGAAACTAAGAGAAAAAGGAAAGACACAATAGAGATCAGAATGCAGACATTCATGAAAGAATGAACAGAATGCATGAATACACATAGGAAAATGAAGTTTTAGGTTTAATTATGAATGAGAACATGAAAATCAGAACTAAGGAATTGATGTCATCTATATTGCTCTGATCATATGAATATCAAAATAGGAATCCATAGGCTGGTGATAGTATGGATGAACATATTATGTTCCAGTGAAGAGTGAAATGTATCATCAGTGAATAATTTTAACAAAGGAACTACCAAAAGTGAACAACCTCCTGAATGAATAGGAACCAGAAAAAAAAAATAACAACAACCCAAACCAAAGCTGTTTGATGTTATGATTGGATGAGTAGGGACAAGATGAGAAACATAAAATGTGTTTGGGCCATAATCATTATTTAAAAAGAGACTGGAGAATGAAAGGGCTTGGTAATTGCTTAGCACCAGTCTGCTTAGAAAAAAGTGGTTTAAAATAAGTCTATGCATATACTGTAGAAAAGCAGCAAAGAATATAATTGATTTGATTGTTTATGCTAAAATTAATTAGTAAAGGATATAAGATGAGTGAAAGATTCTGAACCTAGGACAGATCACTATATGTAGTATTAAGAGTAGATCTTGGGAAAAAATGAACAGGGAAAAAAATAGGTAGATGTGAAGAAAACCAGAAGGAAGGTAGGCTCATAGCTGGAGGATATAACATGAGCCCTATATGGGGGGGGGGAACATTAGAATTAGATGAATCTCCTAAAATAATGAATGGAAAATGAATGTGGAAGCTGCTTAGAACAGAGTGAAAGAATTATGATATAAAATGCCACTAAAGTGTGTAGAATTATGCTAATGGAAAGCATGAAAAAGAATGCTTGTTGGGATGATGAAAGAGATGGTGAAAGAGAAAAAAAGTTCACATAAAATATTGTTTTTTTTGCCAAAACTGAAAGAGAGAGAGAGAGAAATTCCACGAGTAGGAAGAAAAAGACAGCTGCAACAATTTAGTCAAAACCAACAAGGAATGGCTAAGATTAAAAGGGACAGAGAAAATGCTAAGTGTTGTGTCCTGAGCCTGCAAAAGCAGGCTCGGGATGTTGCACTGGTCCCGGGCATTCCAAAGCTGCCCGGGACCAGACTGAGTGGTGCCAGCCTTGTGCGCATGCGCAAGGTGTTGGCTGCCTGGGACCAGACTGAGCAGCGCCAGCCTTGTGCGCATGTGCAAGGCGCGAAAACGCTCTGCTACTTTGTTTGCCATTGTTCGGGTCTCCAGATGCTTAAAAGAGGCCTGCGTGCCTTTGGGGTTGTTCGGGTGTTGTTGAAGAAGAAGAAACAGCTGTTAAACTTCGCAATGTGTATTCATCATTGGCACGTGAATGAGGTACTTAACACTGGCAATGAAGGTGGGATCCTTTGCAAACTGAAGAGAAACTTTTAAGGACTTACCCAGGAAGTCCTGAAGAGGGAAGACGGCGTCTGAATCAGTGTTCCAGCCTGCCAGTATAGCATCGCTGGAGGGTGAGCTCAGCTAAAAGACCGTTTCCCCAACAGAAGTTTGCAGAGGAACGAGTGGTGAAGGTAGTAAAAGTATGATGGCGAAGATTGGTCGTTTGTCTGATTTTGATGTCTCCCACCCAGAGAGATGGAATTCCTACATTGCCAGGGTGGAGAATTGCTTCAGAGTAAATCAAGTTAGAGAAGATGGCTTGAAGGCTGCAACTCTTTTGTGTGTCTGTGGACAGGAAGTTTTTGAAATCTCAGAGAATCTGGTGGCCCCTGCACCTCTGGAGTCAGTAACATATACTGACTTGAAGAAACTGTTGAAGGAACATTTCCAGCCAAAGTTGTCTGTTATTGCTTGGAGGCACGCGTTTGAGCAGAGGGACCAGAGGCCAGGTGAATCTGCTACGGATTTTATTGCGGACTTAAGGCGAGCAGCCAGACCTTGTGAGTTCAAGGATCTGGAAGAGAGGCTGAGAGATCGCTTCGTATGCAGTTTAAGGAACAGAGACTTACAGCAGAAGATTTTTGCTAAAGAAGAAGTCTCCTTCCAAGATGCTCTACGAGAGGTGACAGCTGAGGAAGCAGCAGGCGGGGCTGCGAAGACCTTACGGCTCACCAGGAGCCCTCCAGAGACAACTACCGTCCATCAAGAGGATGCTCGAGAAGGCTCGGAAGCGGATCCTGAAGAAGAGGTGGATAGACTTCACCAGCCAGCTGAAAGGAGGCAGAAGGAACGTCCGAACAAGGCCCCAGCATCTCTTCAATGCTTCGGGTGCAGAGGACGCCCCAAGTGAGCTGACTGCAGGTTCCGATCCACCATTTGCAGAGCGTGTGGCAGGCAAGGCCATATTGCATCCATCTGTTTGGGGTGCCAGAAGGTCCAACCTCGTGAAGAATTGTGTCTGAAAGGTACCAGGGTCCCCAGCCAACATAGTGTGGGTTTCTGCACATTGCACAGGAGTATTTTGAGGACAGGGACACATAAGCCCCTTAAAAAGAAGCTTTCCCTTAACATAAGACTGCAAAGGGTTCCCTTATCAATGGAGTTGGACACTGGATCCGCTCTTTCCATTATTTCCATTAACACATTCAAAAAGATATGCAGCAGCAGTGACTCAAGCCATCAAATCTAATACTTACAGATTTCCAGAATTCTATGATGTGTGTTAAGGGGGAGGCCACCCTTAGAGTACAGCATAAGGATTTTGAAGGTCCCCTAGATGTGGTGGTTGTTGGGGGTGAATGTATGAGTCTTATCTCTTCCCTTCAAGGTATTACCAATTCTGAAGTAGCAAAAATCATTTTTTCCCCATTCCACACAAAAAAGAACTCTATGGTTTTTGTTACACATATTTCTGTATATTTTGTGGTGTGAGAGAGAGGGAGGGGTGGAGAAGAAGAGAGAGAAGGAGAGGGAGGGGAGAAAAAGAGGATAAAAGCTTGCTTGTGCTTCGCTACTATGTAGTGACAGACTGCCATGAACTGTGGGGAGGAGGAATGAAGTGGGGATGCCTCGGGAAATGAAAGTAAGTGCTGTATCTCTTCAAGGCACTGTTTCAAGGAGGGGGCCACATACCAAACTACTCCTGGACAGACTATTATGAAAATATCTTGCTTGAATCTGATTGGTTAGACTAGTGAGGGCAATGAGACACAATTAAGCGAAGAAAAGTAGAACTTAGGGATTTAGGCACTTGATTCTCAGTTCTGGCTTTGCACCACTGCAGTACACTTGATCTCTAATAAACTATAATTTTCTCAACAAATGGATCATTTTTTTACTTAAAGGTTTAAGTTGTGGCAGGTATCATAGAATCTGAGAGGCTGCTATGCTTCCTATGTCAGGGAAAAATCAATTGTAAACAATATAAATGAAACCATCAAAATCTTTCAAAGGCTATGAATCAGGGCTTCAATTTATTAATATATGTATGTT